AAAAAAAAAAAAAACCCACACACAGAAAAAAAGCACCGTACAGCTTTTTAAAATTCTGTCTCTATACCTCCTTTCCCAATGACATCAGCTGGAGGCTCCCCACCTGCCCAGTTGCCATAGCAGTTACACAAAGACATACAATGACATCAGTTGGCATGATATCAGCTCTTTGAGTACAAACAATACAAGAAGAACTACTTTGTTTAAGGCCTTTGGTGCAACTGTGTTCTGGAGAGCCAATGATGTAATGCTAACAGGTGGCATGGGCCTTGCATTTGCCTAATGGGGGAAAAAAACCCATGGGGGAGGGGAGGAGGGAATGTGAGACAGACAGACACAGAAGGCTCCGACTCACAGGGGGTGCTCACGTGCAAAACTACGTGTGTGTTGTATGTTGCAGCCATGTGGGGACTCCGTTCATAGAATATTGGAAGATGACGAGGCTAGAAAAGGAAATACCACGGGCTCAAATACATTAGTTGGACAAGGGAATTCTCATTGAGGGGCACGAAGAAATCGCCTCCTGTTCACTCGTCAGTCTGCTGACCAGCTTCAGCATCAGTCCCCCTACGGGTCATGCACATCCGCAGTTACACAACTCTCCTGGGAGGGAGCTTCAGGCAAAATGAACGGGTCGAATCTCACCGTGGTGGTTCTTCAGAGAGATGTCTGCAGGGAGGATGGTTTTTCTGCTCTTAGGGAATTGGAATTGGGAGCCGGGGAAGGAGGAGAGGGAAGACTAAGGCTGATACGGTTTTCTCTTCCAACCACCTTCCCCGGACCCTACGCTACCATGTATCACTAGAGGCTGAACTGCCTGATCACCTAGTGAGGAGCTTTGATTCCATCCTGTTGGTCCTTCACTACGTAAGAACATTACAGCAGGATAACTGACAAGCAAAGTAGAGACAAAGTGGCTGGTGGTTAAGAGCAGTTGATAGAGGCAGACAGACCCAGGGTGTGATGTTGATTCTGCCCCATCAGAGCAGCGAGTCTTGATGCAAATCACTGCCCCTCATTAAGTTTCGGCTTACTGATCTGTAAAGTGGACGTAATGTCACCTGCCCGCAGGGCTGTGGTCTGAGCAGCCTAGGTAAGCATGTTGATATATAGCCAGGCATCTGATACGTAATGTCTTCTTACCCCACAATCATTACCCTCCTTGTCCTTATCTCCCTTTGATCGTCTACACTGCATTTTGTGAGAACTCTAAGTGCCATGCGTGGTCGGTCCTCAGGCCGGCCGCCTTGGGTCTGAGCGCCAGCACCGCCAACACTAGCTTCCGGACCCCGAGCAAATTTCTTTCCCCCAGATAGAAAACAGGGGCAACCTCACACTACTATTTTGAGGATTAAACTGCGTAGTAAAAATAAAGTACTTGAAAACAACTATCCATGGTGAGCACTTTTCTACTTCTATTACTTTGGGAAACTACCATTTTAAAGATCTTTAAAAAAAAATTTTTTTTTTAATTTTTTAAAAGTTTATTCATTTTTGAGAGACAGAGCACTAGTGGGGGGTGGGGGAGCAGAGAGAGAG